AGCCATCCCATACTGAAAGGACACAGCTGAACAACTTCAAAGACTGTTTGCCTCATATAATATTAAAGTCTATGTCAAACCTTCTAATTCTCTAGAGAAAGCGTTGGTGCATGTCAAAGATATAGTTCCCAGAATGTCACAAAGTAATTGTGTCTACAAGATAAAGTGTTCAGAATGTGATGCATGCTATATAGGGGAGAGCAGTAGGCAGGTGAAGGTCAGAGTGAATGAACATAGACTATGCACGAAACGTCCACCTAGAAATGAAGTAGAACTAAAAAGTCTAGAAAAAAGATCGGCTATAGCAATGCATGCTATAGACAGCGGACATAAGATTGATTTCGACAATGTCGAAGTTCTTGGAAGAGGATTTCATTCACATAAAGAAAGATTGACTTCTGAAGCCTTGCACATCTTAACCACATCGAATGCAGTGAATAGGAAAGATGGGATGGACTTATCACCTATATGGCAAACTCTTATGAAGCAAGACAGATGAAAAAATCAATAAACTCTATGAGCTTCCATGACCTTTTAAAACATATAGGATCATTTAATTGAATTTTAGATTTTTCCCGTCGATTGATTGGACCGAAGTGCTCGGTCTCAGGTTGACATGTCGGCTTCTTGAGCAGATGCTTCGACGATGTCTGGGCATTTAGTTAGTATTTAATTGGTGGATGATGACTAGCAGTGGAATCCAGGATGCGCATGTAAACTATGGGTTCGAGCCTCGGTGGGAACATCATCACTCACTGAGAAATGCAGGTACATCCAGATGACGAGTCCCAAATAGGACGAAATGCGCATCCTGGATTCCACTGCTAGTCACCATCCACCAATTACATATAGGATCATGTTTATCATATATGAATTCACGTATTTTCCATATGACAAATAACATACATACACACACACACATTCATACAAAACTAATCTGTACAAATTAACTATAGAAGAATGAACACAACAAAAACTTGACATTAGTCATTACAAATATATGTGATGACTGCTTGCATATTTTCTATTGGTAAAAATGTCCATGGACAAATGACCTTCAAATAAACTGACTTTAATTTATGTAAAATTTTTGACTATATATTTTGATGATTAATAAAAAATTCGAATAAATCTGCTGAAGAAGCTGTGGCTTACACACCGAAACGTTGGGAAAAATCTTGTTTTGATTTTCTTAACACGCTGGGATTAATTTAAATAGTTTATAATGAATCAATCTGACTCGGCGCTCAAATTATTCCAGGAAGTTCGTAACACCTACGGCCTGGAAACCTATAATCTTATAGTAATGCTTGTTTTCGTATCAGTGTCATACACTGGCAATCATTGAAAACTGTTACATATTAAAGTAAATCTCATTTGTATGATATTGACGCTGTTAAGTCATTCACTGTTGTCAGCAGACAAAGAAACAGGAAGATGCTTGCAGTTGCAGAGGCTTGTGCAATTCGAGTTTACAAACCAGGTCTTTGTGTACAAAAGGAGATGGTCGTCACTCTGAATCTACCATGGTAATACGTCTTACTTATTATTCTACCTCTTATTATTATTATTCTTGATTCATTTAAAACTATCCTTTATCAGCAGCATTATCTTAACTCACTTCAACATTATTGTTATTATAACTATTACTATTGATATTACTCTGTTTGCAATTCTTGATATATTCTCTAATGACTGATTGTTTATCTGAGTGATGTAATTGAAGCGTAATGCATTTTATCTTAATTTTGATCTCTCATACTCCCTCTCCCCTTATCTTTTTGAACATGACCTGGAAAACATTCGCACTTGTCTTCCTGCATGACAAATTCAATGTAGTTTATTTGTTTATCAGTCTTATATCTCTCAATGTAATTTCAAATATATATATATATATATATATACATATATATATGTATATATATATATATATCCGTGTATGTAGAGTACTGAGCAGCTGACGAGTTCTACCGAGATTTGATGAATCCATTAAATCCTGCTTTATTAACCTTCTTTATTGCTTGTTTTAAATATCATTTGTAGTATTATATAAATAGACATTTTTTTCTTTTTCTTTACACAGACCCCCCTTAAAACTCAACTTTTCACATGCAAAATGAGCAGCAATGAAGTAAGGCATTTAGTTAATATATCATCATATCAATTATATTTATTATTCTCTAAAAGGCACCAAATTACACCTTGAAATATACTCTAACTGGTCATACAAAAGCAGTATCTTCTATAAAGTTTAGTGAAAATGGTCAATGGTTAGCAAGTTCATGTAAGTATTCAGTAATTGAAAAAAATAACTTGCTTTATTTCCTTCCTTCCCCTCCCAAAAAATATTCATACTTATAGCAGCAGATAAACTTATCAAAATATGGAATGCTTATGATGGGAAATTTGAAAAATCAATCAATGGTCATAAATTGGTAGTTGTTTTTAAATAATTCAACTTAGTAATAATAATAATCTTGCTTCTTAATAAAGGGAATTTCAGATGTTTCATGGTCTTATGACTCAAGATTTCTGTGCAGTTCTTCTGATGACAAAACCTTGAAATTATGGGATTTAGTCACTGGAAAGTGTTTAAAAACACTTAAAGGTCACAGCAATTATGTTTTCTGTTGTAATTTTAATCCACAGTCAAATCTGATTGTCTCTGGTTCTGTAAGTGGTTGTATTCTTATTAATAATATTAAAATGCGCATTATTATATTTCATTAGTTTGATGAAAGTGTTAAACTATGGGATGTTAAAACTGGTCGATGTATACGCACCTTACCGGCTCATTCAGATCCAGTGACAGCTGTAAGCGTGAATTGCGGTTCTCCTTCTAAATATACACACACGCTTATTTAGGTTAATTTTAATCGTGATGGTTCACTCATCGCTTCGAGCAGTTATGATGGATTATGGTAGGCGATTATATATTTACAACATTTCACTTCTAGTCGAATATGGGATACTGGTTCCGGTCAATGTTTAAAAACTTTAATAGGTAATTTGGTTGATTACATCTCATTTCCTGTAGATGATGATAATCCGCCTGTTTCGTTTGTTAAATTCTCCCCGAATGGCAAGTATATTTTAGCTGCAACACTCGACAGGTAATATAAAATTATTATTATTAATATCATTACTATTGTGGTTTGAATGTATAGTTGTCTTAAATTATGGGATTATACAAAGGGTAGATGTTTAAAAACCTATGGAGGACATAAAAATGAGAAATTCTGTATATTTGCCAATTTTTCAGTTACTGGAGGCAAGGTATGTTTCCTATTTGTAATTTTTTCTTAATATTTAAATATTACTACTAGTGGGTTGTCTCAGGCTCTGAAGATAATCTCATCTATTTATGGAATTTACAAACAAAAGAAATTGTACAAAAACTTTCTGGGCATACAGGTTTGTCAGCTTTAATTTATGATGATAATTCTTCACATAGATATTGCTCTGTGTACGGCTTGTCATCCACAAATGAATATGATTGCTTCCGGGTCTTTAGAAGGTGACAAGACAATTAAAATATGGACTAGTGACAATTGATTACTTATTATTATTATTATGTACCATTCCTATTGTGTGTTGTATATTACTGTGTATATTTTTCTTCCTTTCTTCCGCTCTGCTCTGCTCCTTCAACATTTCATCAAATATATCGATGCTACATTTTTAATCCAACTGTCTTTTATATTATCCACCTACCTACCTACCTACCTACTATTCTGAGAAGTCTCGTAACAACCATAAAAGATCATTTTTTTGTGAACCAATTTGGCTTTATACTATCTCTTTCCATGTATAATAAAGTGTTTCTGCCTTTCTATCAATGTATAGTCGTCAAGTAGATATACTCTTTCTATAGCATACTGTGAAGTATACAGTCACAGTCCATAAACGACATGTAAGGTTGGTTTGCATGGATTTGACTGGTTACAGGATTTTCATGATGAGATGAAATCGGTTAGAGAACCGTTGTAAAACCAGCTGGGTGTACTGAACAGTTGTTTCGTCCTTGTTTCGAACTCTTCATCAGTACGCACGCAGGACCTTCTGGTTGCAAGGTGAGCTAGCTCGTAGACCATTGAGCCACTGGGACACGACCCAATGGCCCATGAATAACAACTTCTGCTTAGATATAATAGAGAAGATTTGTAGCTCAGGTGGATGATTTTGGTGTGGTTGTGTTCTCTGAGCTGGATGGTTTGGTTGCGAAGCTTTCATTGCTCTACTGAGCAACATCTTCAGCGCATACTTCGATGTGAAGTGAGCTTTTAGAATTCTCTATGAGTTTATTAGTCATCTCTAAAAGCTCACTTCACATCGAAGTATGCACTGAAGATGTTGCTCAGTAGAGCAATGAAAGCTTCGCAACCAAACCATCCAGCTCAGAGAACACAACCACACCAAAAACTTCTGCTTATAATGAAACCCTGTAACCAATCAAATTAAATCCCTGAAAGGCAACACTCGATGCTCACCGGCGACTGACCCTATTGAGGTGGGTAGTTACCTGGGTTGTAGTGAAAAGTTGTGACCGATGAGGTTCCACCCGGTCGGGAGTAAGGACAAATACTCGCCGCGGTTGACATTCACTGGTGGTCGCGATAAAATCACCAACTGGTATAAGTTTAAATTCATGGACTGGCCGTTGAGTCGAGTTCCCAGTGGGCTAAATGGTCAACGAGTTTTCCTTGTAACCAGAAAGCCCTTGGTTCAAACCTTGGTAATGGGTGCGTGCTGATGAAGAGTCAGATAATGGGAGCGAAACAGCTATAGGGTACTTCCTGCTGGTTTCTAATGCTTCTTTAATAAGGAGTTGAAGGCAATCATCATCATGGCATAACAAGTGAATATCAGTTAGTTATGAGAATAAAACAACAAACTATATATTTAAAAAATAAGAAAGAAAAAATGAATATTATAATAATAATAAGAGATTCAAATAACAAAAGTCAGATCTATAAGAGAAAATTATAAATAAATACTGTTCATAATGTAATCAGATCTGTAGCTTTGATGTGCTTAAATACAGTGGAGAGTGTTTCTTCTGGTGGACCATCTGCAATTATTCGTCCAGATTGCATAACTATAACACGTGAACACAGACGATTGATAGAAGAAAGTCGATGGGCTATGAGTAATATAGTAGCTCCTTTAAATTCTCGTTCCAATATTTGCTAATCATATACAGACATGTAAATGAAAGGGAAAAAAAAAGATGAACATAAGAGACAATACGAATTGTATAAAGGATTCAGAATTTAAAAGAGGCCATTTGGATTGGGTCCCAGTGACCTAATGGTCTACGAGCTCGCCTTGTAACTAGAAGGTCCCGGGTTCGAACCCCCTATGAATGGGTGCCAATGAAGAGTCCCAAAATAGGACGAAACAACTGCCCAGTACTTCTGTGCTGGTTTTCAGTGGTTCTCTAACCGATGTCAGTTCATGATGAAATCCTACAAACCAATACTTGAATACTAATGAGATGCTCACTAGCGACTGGCCCTATTCACGTAGTTAGTTACCTGGGGTACAGCAGGTTGAGTGTGAGAACAAATACTCGCCGATGGCACTGGCTACTGGTCGCGCTATATCATGAATTGGCTGAATTTGGAATTCATGGGCTATTGGATCGGGTACTCATCCACCGACATGAGGTTCGAACCCAGAGCCTTCTGGTTACAAGGCAAGCTCCTAGACCATTCAGTCATTGGGACCCGACTCAATAGCCGGCTCATGAATTTTAACTCATACCAATTGATGATTTTAGAGCTACAACCAATATCATCGGTGAGTGTTTGTTCTCACCCCCGACTGGTCAAAACTTCTCACTAGAACTTCAGTTAACCTCGTGTTGTAGGCAGTCACTGGCGAGCATCAGTTTGCTGGAAGTTGGAAATCATGGGCTGGTTACTGAATCAGGTCCCAGTGACTGAATGGCCTACAAACTTTCCCCATAACTGGGAGGTCTTGGGTTCGAATCCTTCTGGGTGCGTACTACCGACAAGTCTCAGACTTGGATGAAACAGCTGTTCAGTAGAGCTTCCGCTGGTTTTTAGTGGTTCTCTAAGTGACAAACTAAAAGCACCCTTTCCAAGAAGGAATAATGTTGGTTGGAATAAATTAGACTATTAGTATTTGAAAAATAAAATAAAAAGCAAAACAAACACATCAAAGCTTACATGAATAATTTCTTCACACTTATCGTCTATTGAAGCAGTCGCTTCATCTAAACAAATAATTTTAGGTCGAGGTTGACGAAGTAAAGCTCTAGCAAGACAAATCAACTGTCGTTGACCAGCAGATATACCACGTCCTGATTCTCCAACATTACGTGTTAACCATTCAGAGGCTTGTAAACGATCTCCAGCCAGTTGACAAGTAAGCAATGCATCTTCTAAAGTTGAGTCGTCTAGCTGACTATGAGGGATAAATAAATGAGCACAAACGAAGTGAATAATTAAGAAAACAGAACTGCTGGTTTACACAATCAGGGATGGACACACACGTACATCATAACGACACGTTACTGCAACACATTGAACTTCACGACATGCCAAGTCTCTGATTCATAAAGTAGCACTGACTTCACATTGGAGTTGAAAATCCGGATCTTATTTTCATTCTCATGTTGAGTGCTGTTGATCTCCACACAGACTTGAAAGTAATAAAGCCCTGCCTTGCTTTCCCGATCCTCGCTTTGATATTCTCATCAGTTCCGTCCGCCTATATTTGAAGTGATGCTTCCTAGGTAGATAGGTAAAGGAGGTTGCTTCTTTTAGATTTCTCCCATTTATGCTGATTGTTGTGGTTGTTGCTGTTCGCCAGGAATCTTCATCACCTTTGTTTTTTCTATGTTTACTTGAAGGCCTATCTTCTCTGGAAACTTCTTCTGCCAACTTGTTGCTTTTCATTTGCATACCTTCCAGTTTGTGGGAAATCAGACATATATCACATCGGTGAAGTCCATATCCTCCAAGTTTTTGTGTAGGTGCATTTTATGCCTGTCTCCTCGTTACGCGACCCTCTGTCTGTCGCACTGTCCAGTCTACCGCAGTCAGGAAACTCACTGGAGATAGTAGGCAGCCAGCCAGCCTTGGCTTACTCCCGTCTTCACTTCAAAGGACTCCGTGAATTTCCCATTGTGGATTACTGCTATGCAGAATCGTCGTACAACTGTTGGATGAGATGTATAATTGCTGGCGTCACCCCTTGGTGGTAGCGAAGTAGTTGCTAAATCACCTCTCGATCGACGCTGTCGAAGGCCTTTTCAAAGTCAATGAAGTTGAGTGAGGTAGATAGGTGACTGCCATTCCACGCTCTGTTCAATGATGATCCGTAATATGGTGATCTGATCGATGCATGACTTGTTTCTCCTGAATCCAGCCTGTTCCGGTCGAAGTTTTTCATCCAGGGTATGTTTGATTCTCTCCAGGATGATGCGACTTAGTATTTTGCTTGGGATGGACAGGAGCATAATTCCGCGGCAGTTCTTGCATGGACCTAAGTCCCCTTTCTTTGGCAGTTTGAATAAGTAGAGTAATTATCCACTTTGCAATAGAACATGCTGAGAATTCTGAAATATGTATGAAAGCATTTTTCAGAACAAACGTGTTAATTGTTAACTATTGACTGGAGTTAACTTTCTTGTAAGAGAGATTGGTTGTCAGTAAAGGTAAGGAAGTGTTCCCCGATAGTTTTTACAATCATTAGAATATAAGAAATTTTAAATGTTTAAGGAACTGTATACTACTGATTGATTGTCATGAGTAGTTAGTTGCATACAACTCATATCACAATCAATAGTGTCTGCTAGCCAGAGATAAACACCGGACGGCCTCTTCGCTCTTTTGGGGTCGAGCTCATCAGCGGTGTACCCTATCTGACTTAGCTCAGAAAGGCGAATCAGTTCAAACTACCAGATTTCTGCCTAGCTACCTGGTCGAAATGGTCATACCATACATCAGATTCATGATTTGCATATCGCTAGCGGTTGCAAAGATTCAGACACTATTAAATGATATCTGATACTCTAGTTCAACGCTGAATGGTTTACTAAGCAGAACCTACGTTCACTATCAGCTTGAACAGTCCTACGATACACCCAATCACACCTAGATTATCATGTTTCATCAAAATTATTAAGAATTAATGAAAATTACTGAAAGTATTGTAGTAATTTGAAAGGGAAACTAACTTTTCAGGATCTAGATTATCCCGTAAACATCCAGAAAAAAGGAATGGTTCTTGACAAACAGATAGAATTCGAGAGCGTAGAAGACCGAGAGGAACAGTACGAATGTCTACTCCGTCGACAAACACCTGAGAATAGAATAAATTATTTTATATATATAAAGGATAGCTCATCGCGAATAGGAGTTGTAAACAGAGGAATGCACTAGCAAATGCATTCAAAGTACACCAAAAACTAATAAGACAGACCCAGGATGATTATTAATCTTCTTCTAAACAGAAGTCTTGGCTATTTGTTCCGTAGTGAATGTTTCGACGGTGCCAATATTTTATCAGCAATCCATTACATGCTTCCAGTTATAGCTTTGATAGGTTTTTGCCTTAACCCTTGGGTTCCAAAGTGGAACACAGGTCTTCAGCAGCACATCTCCATTTCACTCTACTCTCTGAAGTCCTTTTAAGCTGGCTCCAGGATTGTCGATTAGCTCTTATCTCTTTCACGCCAACCTCGAACGTTCACTTTATTGTTCCCTATTCGGCTTTCATTCAAGGGTCTGGTGCGTGATGTCAACCGAAGATCTCCATTTTCTTCGGAATGTTTGTTGGTTCATTCCCAAAGTTTCTTGTTGTTAATCATTTTTGTCTGGTCATCTGATCTCTAGTATGGAACCAGGAAAGGCAGTTGTTGATGAAAGTCTGATGCAGTTTTTCGTGATGTGGAGTCATGCGCCAGTCGAAAACTTTTCTACATTTTGAGTCAAATCTTGATGTCATTATTTTGGATGGAATTGATTCCCACCGCATAAGTGACGTCACGACAGCGATCGTGGCAGTTGTAATTGTATATTAGCGGACAAGTGGATACCAGGACCATTGGTCTATTGGTTTTCAAAAAATTCATAACAATAATGCACTTAGTCAAGTCTTCAGCTTTACAATTTTCTAATGCGAACGAATGTAACTGAATTCCGCAGAGTAATATGGGCGCTGTTATATATTAGACACCAGCAACTTGATATCATTTATCTGGTGTCTTCACTTTCGTTCAAATTGTACTGCCTTTCATTTGAGCTGTCTAAACTTGAGTTTCTTTCAGAGAGGTAATTATCCCATGATCGCTTGGTACTTTTAAAAAAAATTTCTTTCACGTTCCCCAGTGGAACATATGGCTCCAAGCTAGTGGCCTGAAGTTTCTGTAGCAGTGTTTATTTTACAGGATGGGGTTGCTAGCCTCATGCCCAACCTTTCCTCTTCACCAGCATTATTTCTGGCTTAGCGAGGTAAAGGAGTGCGTCGGCCGGGGATCAAACCCCGGACCATGTGCATGGTCGGCGAGCGTCCTAACCGCTATGCCACCGATGCACTTAAAATAATATAATTAATTTTAATACGTCTCTACTTTAGGTACATCTCTGCATTCACAGTTTTCTTATTGTTTTTACATGGACTTTAATTTCAAACAATTAGCAAGAGGCTAGGCCTTTGTGAGTAACATAATCAATGAATTAGAACGAGACGGGACTGAAATTTCCATTTCAATTAGGAATTTTCCTACAAGGAAAAGAAAAGCGCGAATCAGTGATGCACTTCACCATTTCATACACATGGTTCCCTTGACAAATTTCAATAAAGAAAGAAAGAAAGAAAGATCAAATTTGAAGTAGAAATATGATATCATTCTACTTCACAGGTTCTCATCATCTAACTGTAGACTACATGAAATTACAATGATTATAAAAGAATGATAGTAACATACATCAATGTTTGAATGGTAGTAGAAAAAATGTTATAAAATTAACGTTAGAATTTTTAAGTTGCCATCAGTTTATGCGCTTTCAAAGTAGAAAAGACGACAGAAAATAGAAAAAAATCTAATACACGTGGCAACTCAAAAAGGTTATAGTTAAGAAGAAGGTGGAGATTTCCTCAGTGACCTGAAATCATTAATATGGATGACTAATCAATGTAATCAAAATCCAGTTATCAAGGCAGTGTGAGAGATTGATTACATTCTCCTTCTGTATGCATAAGTTTGTTTTGAGAAGCTTGACTGCAATCGCTTCAGAGAATCGTAGGAAATCTGCTATCCTGTGCAATAGTGAATATTTTGAAGGGTTTGGAAATCTCAATGAAATAACCCGTATCCACAAGGTGTCTGGAAATTGTACTTTGCGAATATATGCTTCCCCCCATAGGCATAAACTTTGTTTCGCATATACTCAGAAAACCAGACAGAAGCCCTTCTTTCGGTTTTTCCGATGTACTTCCTCCAGCAAGTTCACGTAAATTTATAGGCACACTTCGAAGTGACATTGTAACAACAGAAGACAAAGGCCAGGCAACAGATCGCTTATTTAGGAAATCAACACATATTTATAGATTTTCATTTACATGATTATACATTATTGTAAGCAGACAAACACAGTCTTCTGATTGGTGGTTTCTCGCTGAACGTTAATCTTTCATCTCTTTGTGGCCGTTTATTGAAGTTCAGATTATCTGTCTGCAAATTGTATCCGCCCAAGCAAATTCTGCTGTGATTGGTTGTTGAATCAGTCTTTGTTCTTATTTTTCTCATGACCAATATTGGGGACGTACACATTGACGTAAATTACTATTTACCGATAGTGGCTAGCAGCCAGCTCTCACCACAACATCAGTAGGGTACTCTTCCAGTTTAAATTGGCTTATAGATCATGTGGTGCTGTGTAGTGTTACAAGCTTAGCTGCACGGAAGCATCTTTTTATTGCTCCTTTCATTCTCTTGTCAATCATTCGCGACACCGTTTCACCTTTTAACGGCAGACATTGTTTATGAAATTTTTCTGATTTCTCCCTCCACCTACATCCTTTTCTATTTTGAAAGCGTATAAACTGACAGTAACATAAACTGAAAACGTGTAATACTTACATTTCGGATGCATTAATTCTTCATAAAGTTTTCTCTACTACCATTCAAACATCGAAGTATGCTACTGTTATTATTTATAACCATTTTAGTTTCAGATAGTTTTCATATGATGAGAACCTGTAGAATACGATGATATCATATTGTGCTTCAAATTTGATCTTTCTTTATCTAACTTCGTAATTATTATTAAACAGTTGCTGAGTGAGAACGGTTACTCAGAGAAATTTATCGAGGAGAATATTAATCAAAAGTCAAGGCAGGCCGAAGTACCAACCAGTTCCGAAAAAGTCCTTATTCTTACAACTTCAGTTTCTTGGGGATAACAACGCCTAAGGGATACAACGGTAAAAATTATGCTGTGTCTTCAAAACCACCCCTATTCTGCGTTCAGAAGTTAAAGATAAACTGCCTGATCTCGCCTCTTCTATGTGTATCTACCAATTTAACTGCTCCTGTGGAGCCAGGTATATAGGCCGTACAATTATACATCTTTATTGTTAGATTTACGAACACCATCCTGCGTGGTTAAGTAAGAGACAAACAAAATCCATTCATAGCTCTATTCTATCTCATCTCATGGATCCAGAACACAAGATTGTTGTCAACGAGGCAGCTTTCAAAGTCATCTGCTGCATACCAACTAATCTTACCTTCGCCATATTAAGAGTTCGTCTACTACATATTGCTGAGGTTGGCTGTTGGGATCCACATTAAGAAAGCTAACTTTAGTATCCAAAAGAAGTTGGTTCAGACACTTTTCGTACATTGGCCATCAAGGTTTTAATGATTCTCAATTTGTTGTGGAAATTTCCTTAATTTTACCTCATATTCTATTTGCTATTACATTTTTATGCCCATTACAATTTGTGTATCTTTAGTGAACTGTAATTCCATTGATCTTACTTAACAAATCGATATTATTTTAAAAAAACACTAATATTATTATTGACTACTATTCTAGAATATTCTGTTTATATGAACATATATATATATGATAAGTTTAAAATTGTTATTCAGTGAGAATAAAGGTATTTGAGTGTCAATTTAACAAGTGTGAAAATATACAAAAGGAGCATACGAGAGTGATAATAGTGAATTAATTATTAAAGCAAAAGCAAAGTAAAATTAAAATGAAAAGAAAGAGTCAAAATTTTTTATTTACAAGGAACGATTAATGAAGAGGTTAAGACCAAGGTAGAATAAGAGACTGGACAAACTTTTTCCGTATACAGAGATCAGGGTTGTATTGATGAATTGCCAGCGCCTCCGACATACACAAAAGCCGAAACCTGACGCCCTTTGTACCATTTAGCTTCACTTTGTAGTTGATCTTTAAATACGACTCTGGTGGAGCTACGTGGCCTGAGTTCACCAAATGCTCGAGAATTGAGCTAAGAATTGTCTTGCATTGTCTCTTTGCTAACCATGCCGGATAATGTTCAGAGATGCGTTTAGAAAGTGTGCGCTTTGTGCGGCCAATATAACTAGCTCCACACGAGCAGGTGAATTTAAAAACACACATTGAGGTGGCCCAAAGCGGCAGTTTATCCTTCACACATCCGTTGATCATTTGTCGGCTGTAGAAATTGATACATAGCTGAGCCATAAAGAAGGCTTTCCTCAGTGATCTGCATAAGCGATTCTTCAGGATCTCAGCTGCGGTATCACCTTTAAATTCAACACTCATAAATAGCAGTTTCTTCGACACCGTCTGTATTCTTTCAGGCTTTTCCCTTAGCTTCATTTTTTTTCCCGATAAATCTTTTGTATATTTTCACACCCTCTTCACACTTGTTAAATTGACATTTAAATACCTTTATTCTCAATCAATAGCAATTTTAACCTTATCAAATTTCTATCTTTGTTCCGTTGAGTACCACGTAATTTACAACTTTTAATTTTCACTTCTAAAGCCACTTCTGAGTAATTATATATAATATATATATATATATATCTATATATATATATAGCTGGTTAGCTGCCGTTCAAGTGGTTACCAGGATATAATCAAGTGCAGCTTGGAAAATGTACACCTAAGAGCTGCATTCCTTATAATATACTGTGACGGAAACCCCAGTAATTTTACCCCAGCCGATAATTATGTTACAACAGAAACATAGCTTATTTAAAATACAAGCGAAAAGAAATACACTTTCGATATTTTTAAAAAAATGTGTAAATATTGACATCAATTTAGATGCAGATATGGAAGAGAGGCAGAAAAGAAGCAAAAACATACCTCACCAGTAGCACCTACAAATCCTGTTTGACTAGCTACATATTCATTTGTATATGGTCCAGGGAGATGATCAACCAGACGCATTAACACTTTTATCAGACTGCTTTTACCAGATCCTGTACGTCCAACAATCCCGACGCATTCACCTGGTTTCACAGTGAAATTGATTTCTTCTAAAGGTTTAATTGACTGTTGTTCAGCAGTTGACTGACACTGGTGACGACGATATGTAAGCGAAACGTTATTGAAGAAAATAGATCCTGATGCTGGCCAATTGAAGGGTACTCCAACTGGATATGTAATACCACTTTTTCGTTGTCTCGGTAAACGAAGATGATTGTGTGATGAAGAACGAGGTTGAGGTGCCTTTAGAAATATAATCGTAAGAAATGCATAACAGTGGGTTATTATTAAGATAATAATAATAATGGCTTAATTCCCCAACAGTAATTTTGATACAATGTGGAATTGGTTGGAGGATTCCATCATGAGCTGATATCAGTTAGGGAACCATTGGAAAACCAGTTGGGAGTACAGGACAGCTGTTTCGTCCTAGTTTGGGACTCTTCATTAGTGCTCACCAGTCGGGGTTCGAACACAGGGCCTTTCAGTTACAAGAAAAGCTCGTAGACCATCCAGCTACTGGGACCACCAGCCAGTGTCACTGGTGAATATTTGTCCTCACGCCCCAACCACCTGATGGACTCTACTGGTCACGACTTCTCAACAGAACTCTAAGCAACCTCGCCACGTAGAGCCAGTCACTAGCGAGCATCAGATTAATCTTTGGGAGTTAGTTTTGTACGGATTTGTAAAATCCCACTCTTTAAAAAAGTGATGAATACAGCTTAGTTTAACATACAAATATATATGAAATTTTAAAACATTGACATAATAATAGAACTTGTGCGCTGTGGTAGAGTATAATTCCATTATGGATAAGATTTTATTTTGATAAATCACACAGTGTTATACAGTAATATTAACTGATGGCCACGTTTCGAGCACAGGTTATGGCTGTTCATAATCACATCAACTTTTTTGCTTCATTTATATACATGAGTAAAATTTGATTAGACATTTGAATAAAAATCAGTATAGGATAATGTACATTTAGAAATAATATTAGTGTTAACAAATAAAATACAATCAGATGGGGAATAAGATGTTTTTATGAGTTTATAAAAAGCCGAAACATTCTAATAGATATTTAGATTTTAATTCATCCGTTAACTGTTAAGGCAGGCTTAGTTAAGTGTCTAACAAACCAAGCAATAGCACTAAGCAGTACAACAAAAACCCTAAATGATGAAATAAAACAGATAGAAGAAGCGTTAGTGTTAAATAACTATCCTATAAAATTCATTAGGAAGATCAGAAAAGGTCAAAAGCAAAATGAAAATAATAGGGAAACTAATGATGATAACATAAATAAGAGAGAATATAAGGCATTTACAGTTCTACCACATAAGGAGGGGATATTTGAGACCCTACGTAAGATTTTCAACAAAGCACGAATTAGGGTGGCATTCAAACCTACCAACTCACTCAGGCAGGGACTAGCTGTGTAGTCTAAAGGACCAAGTTGACCCAATTAGACAAAATAATATAATTTACAAAATACTCTGCAATGACTGTGAGTTCAGTCAACTACGTAAGTCATTCTAGTAGATCGGGTGTAGTCAGATTATTAGAACATAAGAATTTAGCTAAGTTTAGAATGATTGATCGCACGAAGATAAATAATTTGGAAAAAACTCAGCTATAGCGCTGCATGTATTATAACACAATCTTACAATAGGGTGGTTAGGACAGAGTCAAAATTCTAAGAAGTGATATAGGTAGGTGGAGAGAGAGAGGTTGATTACTGAATCTTTGTTCATCGAATCTACACCCAACACGTGCAGTAGGAATGACTCATCACTAATACCGGAAATATGGAAAATACTATTACCAATCAAATCAAACGATGAAAAATAATGGAATTATATAACAACGAAGTTAGAAAGTTGTGTGAGTGAATACCTTGGTATGATTATGAGCAGCAATGAATTGTGCTCGAAACGTGGTCATCAGTAAATATTACTGTATAACAAACACTGTGAGACTTTATCAAAATAAGTTTTACCCATAATGAAATTTTAAAACAGTCAGAGAGAAAATCATTAAAAACAAACAGACAAACTAAACAAACTAACTGTTGGTTTAATTGATACAGTATCACATTCGATTGGGGTATCATCTGTCAACTCTTGACAACGTTCTACAGCAACAAGATTTTTCTCTGTCTCAGTCATATCATACACTGTACTAGTCATTAAGCCGGCAATATTTAATGCATAGGTAGTTGATAAACCAATAGCTGCAACCTAAAACCATGAAAAGCAAAGAATAGAGATAGATGGTTAGGGAGTAGAACAGAACGCGTTTGAATAGCTATTACACAGGGGATCTCTGAATCACATATGATGTTATCACAGAAGATGCTTAAGTGATTCCAAAACCTTAAATATCACTCGTTACAAATTCAAAACAAGTAAGCCTGACGCCAGTGATTTCAGTGTATAACTACACTGATCATAAACGCTGTGTTCATAGACGACAGTGTTACAAACGAAAAAAGTCCATTTCAAGTAACTGCCTTGAGCAGTATTCATTTGTAAAGGAGAATGTTTGAGATTTCATGAGATGCTTTAAATCATGATAAAAGTTTACAAGTAACTGATATGGAGATAGGAATTTCCTGTTGGCGTCTCTATGATTATCTGAATAGCTAATTGTAATATAATTACTTTATAACAAGTGTTGGTTTGTTGATGATTGGTTACAGGATTTCATTATGAGCTGACATTGGTTAGAGAACCATTGGAAAACCAGCTGGGAGTACTGGACAGCTGTTTCCTCCGTCCTAGTTTGGGACTCTTCAGCAGTATGCACTCAGCGGGGTTCGAACGCAGGACCTTCTGGTTACAAGGCGAGCCACTGGGACCCCGATCCAATGGCCCATGAATTCTAACTTCTGCCAATTCACAACATAGCGCGACCACTGGCCAATGTCTTCGGTGGCGAGTATTTGTCCTCACACCCGACCTACTGCACCCTAATAGTCACAATATAACTGAGTTTTAACATAGGACTTTACAGAGAAGTGCACTGGGTCAACTTGCCACACTGCATGTAGCACACAAAAGCAAGACAATCGAGAAAAGATAAGAAATTCGAAAGAGGAGCAACATGGAGAGACAATAGGGTTCAAATGGATATAGGAGGATCACAAAGAATGGTGAATGCATCTGCATCAATGAGAACGATTTCGAGCCATATCATAAATTGTCCACAACCATTATTTCTTGACATCCTGAAGACCCCAACTAGGCAGTCTACACCAGTCTACATAGCTGGCTGCTCAAGCCGACAGGTTTTTATCTAACCACCCTCTTAACTCTTTTCAAACCTAATCCAATATGTCAGCCGACATTCCTCGGTACACACGACACGTGTCCTAGCCACTTCAATCGATGGATTTTCCCTCCCTACTTAATACTTGACACCCGACCTCAACATTACTCACCATATTATACCACTTAACATAGAAGATAGAACACAAACATCTGTGGTCTTTTCATGTCTTTCACTTTAAGTGGCCATGTCACAGAGTCATAAATTGGTTACTGTTATTAATATTTTCCATTCCTTTACGTCCTCGGTGGAACACAGGGCTTCAAGCTAGAGCTTTGAAGTTTCAGTAGCAGTGGTGTTTACTTTTTTACGGAGTGAAGTTGCTAGCCTCACACCCAGCTTTCCGTCTTTCCTGGTTTACTACCAGTGGACCGAAATTTTAGGAGTGTGTCGGCCAGGGATCGAACTCCCGGACAACTTGCTTAGCTGGCGAGTGTTTTACCCACTGAACCACTGTCACAGTCACAAAGGAGGACTATAACTACATAAGAACGTTTAAAAGAGACACAGAGGGGAACAACAAGTTAACAAAATAACTTACTTGTGTCCAGTTAAACAATCTACCGACCAATGATATACCGATAACACAAGCGATGACACCGGTACCAATTAACTGTAATCTAATACTTAACCATGAACCAGCAGCTAAACTGGTCAATTCAGCGCGTATTTGATCACTTAACTTGGAGGCTGTTATTTGGCGGAAACGAATTTCTTGGCCTAGACCACGTATTACTGTTAGACCAGACAAAGTATCTGTATAGTGAGCGTAAACAGGCGAACGGACAACACTGAAATCAGGAAGACAGAGAAAGAGATAAAATAAAACTAAACGATCATGCGAATAACAGTAGAGATTAAACAAATAATCTATACATCAATTATACAATTACTTTAGATATGGACGTGCGTCGGTGGCACAGTGGTTAGGATGCTTGCCGACCATACACATGGTCCGGGGTTCGATCCCCGGCCGACGCACTCCTTTACCTCACTAAGCCAGAAATAAAAGCTGGTAAAGAGGAAAGGTTGGGCATGAGGCTAGCAACCTCATACTGTAAAGTAAACACTGATACAGAAACTTCAAGCCTCTAGGTTGAAACCCTATGTTCCACTGGGAACGTGAAGGAATAAAAAAAAGATATGGACTGATAAACAATGAATGCCATGTCAGCATCAAGTTCTTAATAATAATAATAACTTGCTTTATTCCAGAAACAGTACTAGTGGTACAGTGTGGAATTTTCAGCACATATCTACAATATTTGCATCTAATTTTATCAAACGTTTAAAAGGAGTATTTCAAAAAAATAAATATAAAGACAACAACAAGAAAGAAAACACAAAAATGAACAAAAATAATAAAAATATGCGAAAAAATACCAAGAAGTGGAGAGGAAAATAAACAACATAAAATAATATCTCAAGTATTGGGTAGCGGAAGCTATGATATGATTATGCATGGTGACAGTAAAGCTATAGTCATACAAGAAGTTATGAAATGATATTTAAGAATGTTTATCGCCAAGATGGTCAGTTAATTTGATTGAAACAACTCTAAACAATCATAAAATAACATTTCAGAGTTGTTGTTTTGTTTTTTATTGTCAGGTCTAATGCAGTGTTTGTAGTGGTAGTGTGAGTAATCCTGCATAATACAAAATTTTTTAAGGTGGTGACTATGGCGTTCACAACCAATGATTGTCAGTTAATATTGCCGAAAAGTATAGAAAATAAGAAAAGACAACCACAAAACTAATAATTACATGATGGTTAATGACAGGACAATTTTGTAATACTCATAGTGCTAATAGAGTCGGAACCAGTGGATACACAATAGAAGGAATATAGTAAAGTACAAAAGTAAGCCAATGTTAATAATTTAGGTAGCTAAGTATGTTTGAGAAGGAGTTCACCATAGAATACAAAATAAGAGAGAAATGAAAGAGCCTAAAATTATGTTATTAACAACAAAGCAAGTCATAGGTTTCACTCTTAACATTGTCTCTATCACTTAGAACACGGGCCAAATATGGTACCGTTGAGTTCCTGTACTTGGTTGTACGAGCATAAATTATTTTATACTGATTTCTGGTTCTACTTGATGAGATGCAAGGCGAGAGTTGGGAATAGAGGGGATGTTGGGGGTCGGAGAGTATGGTTTTAGACAATTTTTTGCATGTATTCAGATGCCTTTCAACTAATGTAGTGACGAGCTGATTGGGTTTTACCCCACTAGTCCTACTAACTACCTTCAACATCCTTCTCAGGATGGTATATTCCTTTTTCAGTAGCCCAGGAAAGACTAACGGGAAGCAGTAAAGTAGAATAGGTAAGATACAAGAGTTGACAAATTGTGAAAGTAGAGGTTGGGTGATTCCAGATTGTCTAAGTTTCTTAGAAATCATTAGGATATGAGATGTCCAAGTAAGGTCGGAAGATAGAACTAGACCGAGGTATTTTGCATTAGACTTAGTTTCAATTTTAGCCCCCTCAATGCAACAGGCTTAGTGGTACATTTAGTTAAACACAATTAGAGGATAAACTAAGGATATACAATTACCTCCTACAACTATTGGTGAAAGCGTTTTGGAGCAATGACTAAAATAGTATTAGGATCACGATTTACACTGGGGGTCTTTGGTGATTTTTCTTGTCTGTTGCCTAATTTCTTCACAGTTCCACTGGAGACGCTTTCGTCGAATGCAAACAAATTCAAGATGATTATTAATACACTGAAATCGAATTCTCTCTTTTAGAAAAAAAAACAATCCAAAATTTAGAGATCAACAATATATGAGCAATTTGAGCGCAAATCTTTATTTTAACGTATATCGAAACTTTATTTCACTTAGGATATTTTAAGTTTGAAAATTCACAAGTCATTTATCAGAAATCGATGAAATAAGAATAACTATATTTTTAAAATGTTAGTTTACAGGGATTTCATCGATTTCAAGTCTGATCGCAGCTAGAGAAGCATCGAAAACTAGCAGGGAGTACTGGACAGCTGTTTCGTCCTACTTTGGGATTGTCCAGAGGTATGCACTGGTGAGCCCAATGGAGATCGAACTCTGGACCTTTAGGTTACGGGGTGATATTATATGGTTAGAGGCGATTGGGCAGAGGAGGCCTTGGGTCTAGGTCTCGTGCTAGTTAGCAGTCGTCATCAGGACGAGTCTGCAACCTTGAAGGAACATATTTCCCTTCTGAGATTCGAACCCGCGTCACCCACTGAGCTATTCGGACTCGCGATTGACCTCCTGTAGGACTGTATTGGATACTTTTGATTGGACACTAGCAACCAGTGTAGTGTGTCTAGTACTTTCTTTAGTGCATACTGATTTCTACCAGTCACGTTTACCTCCAACCATATAATATCAACGATTCAAAGTGCATCGTGATGGTGAGCTACCTAGAATGGCGGCCACACTACAAAGGTGACTGATAGAATTCAGTCTGCACCAAACACATTACACTGGTTACTAACAAGTGTTCAATCAAAAGGTTACAGGGTAAGTACGTAGACCATTCAGCCGATGTGACGGAATACACTGTCCTGTCAATTCTAACTTTCGAGAATTTGCGACCGCCAGCCGACGTTATTGGTGAACATCCATTCCTCATGCCCAGCTTGGTGGACCCCGCTAGTCCTGATTTCCCAGTAGAATAGCCTTATAACCTGAAGGTCCTGAATTCGATCCTCAGTAGGGTCATGGAGGCGTACCATTGAAGAGTCCAAAACAAGGACGAAACATCTCTATTCAAAGTTCAAATCAATCAAATCCCTGCAAACTAACACATGAAAATTAATCTAGTTCTCACTTGTGACCGACTACTGCAGGATGAAATTGCTTGAACTGCTAGTGAGAAGTTCTAACTAGCGGAATCCACCAAGGATTAACTTTATATTATGTACCCTCGAATGTATTTTTCTCCCTACATTCAAAACCAGCATGCATGAAATAAAATTTCATCAGCAACATGAAAAAAAATTCAGTAATAGTGTTATACGCGTGACAGCTAAGGTGGTATGGTCTTAATTGCTGCTGATTATGCAGAAATATTACTTTGTAAATTAGTTAAATGAGTTAGAAAGTGGATATTGGAAACATGTGAATGTAATTTCATACACTAAGTAACCATACTTATTACGAATTTACATAGCTGTAGAAAAACATGTAATGATTGAAGGCTACGATACAAATCGAGTCTTAATAGTGCAAAACAATTTTTTACGTCAGTTAAATAACACAGTTTTTCTTAACGAAACGAATAAATGCACATCAAAAAATAATATCGATGTTACTTTTTTGTTTGAATGTTTCCACGATTTCAAATGTGTATGCCAATTCACGCGTCGCTACGGCTATAAAGTTACATAGATTGAGATGGCTAGGTCACGTGCTGCGCATGCCTAACCATCGCCTCCCCCGACCGACGGGCATTACTAGCTGATATAGGTGCAGGCTGGAAAAGAGTAAGTGGTGGCCAAACAAAAACATGGCATCAATCCATGAAATCCTTGACAGTTAAACTGAGTCAGGTAGGGAGATGTAGACTTTCGGGTTGAGGCTCTCGGGACTCTAAGAATCAATGGTTGGAGATAATAGGCGATATGGCTCAAAATCGTTGTCAATGGCGCAGATGTATTCAGTCTCTTGCATAATCTTTCATATTCCTTTCTACCATTACTCATTCTGTTTCACTCTTATACTTGTCAAAACTATTGATTTTCTTCACTAATCTTCTTGTCTACCTTTGTGTGCTATTTGGAACGTGGCAACTCGAACTGCTGCACTTCGGTGCCAAGTTCTATGTTGAATCCAGACAGAGACAGACGAGAATACGTACACTAGGAGAACATAGAGAAGGGCGCCTATGTCAAATTCTTTAAATATATACGAAGGAACCTTCGACTAAAGCGATCGAATACTTTTGAGCTCGTCAATTATCAAACACCTGCTAAACTCAGGATACCGAGAAGACGCATTATTATTATAGCCCAAGTCTTTTTTGGTCTGCTGATGTTATCGCAGTAAAACGGTTGAAACCTGACCTATGTGTTCAAAAGTAATCCCTTGTGGGATATCAGTTACCCCCTGGTAACACTCACCTTAGTAACTTTCTGTCTTCTGATTTCATCACTTTATTTTTTTTTCAACCATTTTTCGACATGGATTTTACATACTTTGAATTCTACTCACTTCATTGCATCATTATTTCCTTATTCGAATTCGTACACACTAAATTTTGATTTTCCAATCTTACAGGTTGTAATCGCTGTATTTTATCACCTCTGATTACGCAATTATCACTGACTGATCACCACCCTACCAACAAGATTGTTTATTTTTTACGAGACACTTCGCTTTTACATATATATATATATACATATATATATATATATATATATATATATATACATATACATATATATATTTATAGTATTTGAGATAACATTATCTTTGATTAATTTTAATTTAATTTAATTGCACACTAGTCAGTAACTAGTGTAATGCGTCTAGTCCTATCTTCGGTGCAGACTGAATTCTATCAGTCAAGCTTGCAATGTGGCCATCATGCTAGATGGCTCGCCATTACGGTGCAAGCTTGACTGATAGAATTCAGTCTGCACCGAAGATAGGACTAGACGCATTACACTAGTTACTGACTAGTGTGCAATCAAAAATATCCAATACTGTCCTACAGGAGGTCAATCGCGAGCCTGAATAGCTCAGTGGTAACGTCTCTGACTGCAGGTGGCACTGGATGACGCGGGTTCGAATCTCAGAAGGGACATGAGTTCCTTCAAGGTTGCTGATGAGTGCCAACTAGCACGAAACCTAGGTCCAAGGCTTTCTGTGGCCGATTACCTCCAACCACTTAATACGAATAACGTTATCTTCTTTATACTTTGTTCCATGATGACTTCTTTACGACAATCTTTACTGAAGGACTAATTCCTGATAAACGAAATGTATGTTAAAGTTGTGTTGTAACTTGTGCGTCGGTGGCACGGCGGCTAGGACTCTCACCGACCATTCACATGATCCGGAATTCGATCCCCTACCAACGCACACTTGATATCAATGGTCAGCCTGCAAAATTTGGGCTACCGATATCATATGCTGAAAATTCCATACTTGTACCAAAAGTACTGTGTGGAATCAAGCTATAATCAGAATTAAATAAATAAATACAGGTTGTACACAGATGACAAGAACCAAAGAAATACGATGGATCCATGTTATTCTACAGTAATGTTCGTTCTATCTCTGTTCAAAATTGAAAGAGATTGAAGAATGGTTATTTTACCTGCACTACATAGAATGAATAAACTAAACTATAACATGAAATAACAGTTATCAGTCTAAAATCTAATTGTTTCATTAAATCTTCTTCAAATCAGATGGCTGTAACTAAGTAAAATGGAAAGAAAGGGCGAAGATGTCTGCACTTTTAGTCAGAAGTCATGACTAACCAGTTGGGTCCACTTGGTTGGGAGTGAGGACAAATACTCGCCGAGGATGAGATTGGCTGTTGCTAGTCGTGCTAAAAAGCTGTCTTCGATCATAGGTGTCTGCGTTCTATCTCCCATGTGAAGTGGTATGATGAGGTGAGCAATATTGAGGTTAGGCATCGGTCGAGTGCTAGGTAAGGAGGGGAAACCAGTCGACGAGACTGTGAAATTACATCGACTGAGATGGTTAGGACATGTGCTACGTATCCCTAGTCATCGCCTTCCTCGACGGGCAATGCTAGCTGATATAGGGTCAGGCTGGAAAAGAGCTAGCGGCGGTCAAACCAAAACATGGCACCAGTCAATGAAATCCACAACAGTTAGTTTAAGCCACGTAGGAAGGTGTAGACTTCCTGGTTGGTGTCCTCGGGATGGGAAAAACCAATGGTTGGAAACGATTGGTGATATGGCTCAAAATCGTTCTCAATGGCCGGTGCAGATGCATCTACTCCTTGTGACTCATGATTTCCAATGAAACTGTTTTGTTCTTCGTTATTACTATCCCTTTGTCTCACACCTCTGTTTACTGTCACTATTATGCATTTCTCCTACTTTCTTCTCTTCCTTTGTGTGTTACATGGAGTGTGGCGACTTGAACTGCCGCACATCAGTGCAAAGTTCTATGTCGAAAACCGACCGACCGTGCCAAAAAACACGAATTGGCAGAAGTTAGAAATCATGGGTTGGCCACTGAGTCAGGTCGTCTCAGTGGCTGAATGGTCTACGAACTTGACTGGTAACCGAACCCCGTACTGCCGATGAGTCCAAAACAGCTGCCCAGTACTCCTTGTCGATTTTCCATGGTTCGCTAACTGATATCAATCCGTGGTCAAACTAGGGAAAAATAAACCCTCAAGCATCTTCTAAGCACTGTTTCCTTTCACTAGACATAATAATGCACTACAATACAGATTTGAAGTTTTCGAATTCTTCTGTTTTCGACTCCCTATAATTTGCATCTCGAAAGTGGGAGGATTTTTCGAAACTCACTAATTTCAAGTCTTTATTCAGAAATCAAGTATCCTGTTAAGTAAGACTTATGAAGTACTTCGAACTCGAGTGTATTGGGGTCAGTTTCAACCACACTGATGTATAGTTTACAATGGAATGCTTTAAATACAACATAGGTGATTACTTGTATTTATTATGAAGGAATTTCTCGCCACAAGTATCAGTTATCATTGTTATTCCTTCAGGTAACGAGTAGAACATAAGGGGTTCAACAGCGCGCATCTCTATTTCACTCTGTTCTCTAAAGACCTCTTTAGCTGGCTCTACAACTGCCCATAAGGTCTCATTTTCTCCATGTGTCAACCTTGGACGTCCACAATTCGTCGTTTACGATTCTGGTTCCACTCAAGGACTCGACTTCCAGATTTAACTCTATGGTCTCCTCAGCGCATGTGCCTGATTCATTTCCATTTCCATCGGCATATTTGTTGGGCAATAAGTTGTTGGTTGGTTCATTGGGCAGAGCTCCTCAATGTTAATCCTTTCCAAACAGCCATCTGATCTTCAGTATGAGGTCAGCGAAAGCAGCTGTTGATAATAAATTTGCAACAGACTGTTGGAAATGCTTTTAGTGACGCGCCAAATCTCTGTATCATATGGAAGTACTGCTTTGATATTAGTGTTGGAAATCCGAATCTTGTTTCAAATGTTGAGTGAGCAGATTTTCACATCGATTTCACATTACTGAAGATTTGTCTTGCCTTCCCGACGCTGATCGGCTTTGAGATCCTCACGCGTGACACCTGTAGCTGAAATGATGCTATCTAAATAAGTTAAAGAAGTGATTTTCTTCAAATCTCCCTCGTTGATGGCGACCGGTACTTGTTGTTGTTGGTTAGGCACCTTCATCACTTCTGTCTTCTTTACGTCCGCTTGAAGTCCTTTCTTTGAAGCTTCTTCTTCTTTTTCTATGTTGTGGGTTTTCGCGTATACACCCTCGAGTTTGTGTGATACTATACTTTAATTGTCCACGAAGTTTAAATCTTCTAGAGTCTTTTTGAAGACCAAACATATTCCTGCCTTCTCGACTCCCGTCCCCACGGTCTCTCGCGTAATCCAGTCCACTATAAACAGGAGTATCATCATCAGTGACGGTAGATAGACGGAGTTCAGCGCTCAAATGACCTTGAACGCTTGCTAGTCGTTGGTTGTGGAAACTTACGATTATTCTAGCGCGAAAATGAACACTGTTCATCTGCAAATTTCACCCAGATCACGTATTTCAATACTGTCTGGATAATGGATTAATAGGACGTTCTCGTATATGTAGTTGTGGTGCTTTAATGAGCCTGCAACCGTATTCACAGATCATTGATGGATATATATTTAGATGTATGGAGTGTAGGAAACGAACAAGTGTTCGTATTGGTAAGTGACACTCTCAGTTAATTGTCTTCTAGGAACTTTCTTGACTAAATCGAAACTTTCCTTGACGAATATACTGGATTTTGAAGTCCGGTGTGAGGTCAACTGCCGCTCAGACAGATAATACGTCAACGTCTACTGTGCAGTGGGAAATGAACAGTATTACACAAGTGTTGGGAGGAGTCGGTGTTGTCGTTCATATCGACGAAACGGTGCTTATAAAGAAGAAATACAATCGGGGACGTGCTAGAGCTAATAACGTTTGGGTATTGGAAATTTATGACGCCCAAATTCGGAAAGGATTTATTGAACTTATTCCACACAGGAGTGCCGACACTCTTCTGCCTATTATTCAGAGACTCGTTTTGCCTGGCACTACCATACACACGGATGAATGGGCAGGATATAACCGATTATCCGATTTGGGATATATACACTACCGAGTTAACCATTCTGATGATTTCGTCGATCCCAGAACCGGTACTCATCCTAATTCAATAGAAGGTTTCTGGGGAAGATTAAAAAATAGAATAAGAGCAATAAATGGCTCTCAAAACCAGGTTATTTTTAATCACCTAGATTAATACATGTATAGGAATCGGTTTAATTTAAAAACTGACACTCCCCATTATAATCGGGACATATTTTTATCTCATATTAGACAAAAATACCCTGTTTAATGTTTTTTCATGCTTTTTTATGTAAATATACGTAATTTTTTGTGCAAAAATCCCTCATTTTTCTGATTGGTCGACTCAAGGTCACTCGTGCGTTCGCGTCCCTTGGGACGCTATTGTAGAACTTTGCCGGTCGATAGTCTTCACTTCAAAGGCTTTGATAGTCATGAAAACTGTAAAATATGTGAGACACAAGCCAGGATAAAACAAACAGATAGTCAGTACTCAAAAACCACATTGAAAAATACTTCGCTTCCCCCACCTGACTTACTAACCTTGATATTCTTTTCAAATCTCTTGCAGCTCCACGATATTGTCTTTGAATAGACCAAAAAATAAATACAAGCGGTAACAGGAAGAAGATTAAAGTTGGCAAGGATAGACAAACAATAAATAATGCCCCCAATAATCCAGCTAAACTAGCCAACAGTATATTCAGTTGGAATGGTAACGCATCGTCCACAGTGCCAACATCAGATGAAAAACGATTTACAATACGACCTAGTGGTGTACTATCAAAGTAATTCAATCGTCCCTGTAATTAGGAAAAGAAAAATACATTTGCATTTATACATAGTTACATGTAAGATATATATTATCATATACTGACAAATAATTACGTAAACAGGCAAATTTGTTTATGTTATGTTTTATTCTGTTTAGTATGACATAAATGATAGGAAAGCCTAAAGTTCATGACCCTAGTGAGGTCATGGTTGCGCACTGATGAAGAAACCCAAACTAGGATGAAATATCCGTCACAAGTAACCCCTGGTTTTTGATTGTTCTCTAACTGAAGTCAGTCAGTTCCTGATCAAACTTGAAATCAATCAGATCCCAGCGCACTAACAATTAGAAATTGATCTAGTACCTACTACTGGCTGACTACACAGGATGAAGCTGTTATACGCTCTAGCGAGAAGTTGGGTCCGTCAACCTGAGTGTCAGGACAGATGCGCACCAATAGTGCTGGCTGGTGGTAGCGTTATATATCGCGAATTGGCAAAAGTTAGAATTGAAGGGACATTGGATTCCGTTCCAGTGGTTGAATGGTCTACGAACTTGTCTGATAACTTGAAAGTTCATGTTTTGATCCTCGGTAAGGTTACAGGCACGTACTGCTGAGGTGTCTCAGACAGGGATGAAACGACTGTCCAGTACTCCTTGGTCTTCAGTGGTTCTCTAGCCAAAGTTAGTTTGTGATCAAGCTTGAGAACAGTTCAATCCCTGCAAATCAACACGTGAAAGGAACGTGTAAAAATCCAAATTAATCTAGTACTAAGTGGTATCTAATATGCAGGGAAATGTAATAACCCATGAAATAAGAATTAATGCAAGTAAGCCAATAACACGGTTTAACTAGCCAAAGAGGGAATTGAATAAATAGTACGATTCTGAAGACAGACAAAAGGTAACAGAATACTGAAATCACCACTGTGGTGTGTACTACTGAGAGATTTGCCAGTAGTATATAAGGAGGGGTTCATGATTGAATGACAAATTACATTTTCCATAATGTCGGGAGATTAGAAAGGACATTTTGATGATTATAGCAGCCACGTGTGACGTGCTGATACTTGACTCTGATGAGTAAAACATAATTCGAGACCAGTAGAGTCCAAGATATCAAGTAAGAGTACAGTTACTTGTCGACGAGATTGACTGGGGGTTGTACTATATACATGGTGTATCAGCGGAAATTAGAAGTCATTGGCCAATATATCTACGTGCTTGCCTTTCAACCGAGAGGTCATGGGTTCGAGCTCCGTGTTGCTTGTCTACTGGTGAAGTGTCTGAAATCAGGGCGAAACACAGTGTGCAGTATCCTCAGGTTTTGCAGTGGTTCTCTACTTGATGTTAGCTCATGATTAAATCTGCAAAAGAGGAAGTACACAGTACCAATGTTGACATCAAATTGATTATGTAGGCAATGGATGACAGGTATGATTTCAAAGGGTATCCTAGCTACAAAACTCATCACAGTTATTAGACAGGATAGTGGCATTAACACCAGTATACAAAAGGCATTCATCTCATATACTCAATGAACAACATCACGATGTTTCGGTGGTCACCAACCAATTATGTACGAAAGTTAAATGAAGCCGTTGGTTCCTATGACCCTTGCAAAATTGATGATACTGATATAGAAACCAAGTCTGAAGTTAAGTATCTTGGATTAATTCTCTCTTCTGACCTATCCTGGTCCTCCCATGTCTTAGCGATTTCTAAAAGAATATTTCGTCTGACTTTTTACATTAAGAAGTTAAGGCACTCAACCACTCCTCCTATTACTGTCTGTCAACTCGTGTATTTTACCTATTCTTCTTTACTGTTCACCCTTATTCTTTCCTGGATTGCTTAAAAAAGACTATGTCATACTTCGTAGAACTCTGAAGACTGTCAGTAGGACGAGTGGTGTTATCCCATTGGGCCATATCGTTGACATTGTCACTTATAGGCACTTGATGTCATGCAACAAATTCGCTTAAGGAATTTTGTCAGACTGTGAGCATCCATCACTGCACCCGCAGCTCCAACCTTGTGTCTCCTCAGGTAAAACAAGAAGTCTTTTCAGAAGACTTTATGCACGTACGTCTAAGTATAAAAATTCCACTATACCATATTTCGTGGCACGTACTTTATGTGATGAAAATAGTGTTAGGCATGAACTAACTAACCATCTTAGCACCACTAAATAAACCATTTCCTCCACCCTTAAAGCATCAAACTTTATTGTTATTGTATTTCTTATATTTATAATCCTCTCAATTTTTTCGTTTTGTTTATTTTTTTTCATAAGTGTGAACATCATTTAAGCTGTGTTATAACTGTTAATTTTGTATTTCCCCTCACCATGCTATATCAACAGAACATTAGATTCAATACTCTATAACATGCTAAAATTTCCAAACTGAATCGACAGTACTGTTTGAAACAAACTCACTTTTATTATTATATTTATTATTCTCTTTTTGTACTTCGAATATTTTTGACTTTATGTCGTAAATGTGGACAAATTCCTCTGGTTAATTTTGTTTTAATTTTTAATTTTATTTATATTTTGAGTAAATCAGATGCAATATTTTGACAAATGATGAGAATTCCATTCTGTATTATAAGTACTGTTTTTGGAATAAAGTAGATTATTACTATTATTATTACGTGACCCGAGTTCTCCCCTTTAGCCAACGCACACCTAAACTTTGCGGCTAGCCAGTAATTAAGCCCGTAAAAACGAAATACCATTGCTACTGAAAATTCAAAGGTTCACCTTTAAGCCCTATGTTCCACTTGGGAAGGCAAAGGAGTACTATAATAATGTTTTTTAAAAAAAAACCCAGATAACTTCGATTTAAAGTCAAAAAAGTTAATCCATAAGAATCTTCACTAACATAAAGTAATACATATATGTATATACAAACCTCTAGAATTGTATCCAACGCAGATTCATGAATAACTGATGCTGCAACTAGACCACCGAAAGCGAATGATACAGCACGAAATACAGTAGCGAGTATATTACTAGCCACTATAATTGAATAAATCTTTAGATGATATAGAGTAGTAGAATTCAGATGATACATATTATTTTTTTGTGGCATATCATTAATAGTAGATGGATTATAGTTAATTAGATGTGTATCATGTTTAGAGTGTAAATTGAAGGCTTTATAGTTTATAGACTGAACTGGAAGAAATGAATTGCTTGAATATGACATCATTCCCTTGAATAATGATGATGATGATGATGAAGATAAATTTCCATTCTGTTGTACCCAACGTGATAACCACCAATCAGATGCATTTCGAGTACCTGATAATAAATTACATTGAAAAGAAAATGGATATATCGTATTCTTGTTGAAAATTGCATACATAGATTATAAGTTTCTAAAAGTGTTTTTCATACTCTTAAACGGATACTATGATCTCTGACGCCAGTTGTTTCTGTTTTGTACAAAAAATTATCTCATATAGAAAGCAAGTAAATACTTGTCATTTGAAGTGATGACAACCAGTGGTGTTCGTAAGAGATGCCCACTGTCCCCATTTCCCTTTAATTTCATCATAGATGTACTAATGAACTTAACCCTAACTGACTTCAGCGACTCAGGAATTGACTTGTTACCACCAGGGAATAATCTCGTTGACTTAGAATATGCAGATGATATAGTCCTCTCCCTAGATGAACACCATGAGATGAGCATCAATCTTCATATATTTGCCATACGATTCGCTACTGTTGTCAAATGTAAGATATTGCTAGAGGACTGGACTACATCGATCCTTAGCTTGAAGACAGGTAGTGTTGTGGTAGAGCGTGTTCACCACTCCTCTTATTTGGGGGAGTTGCATCAGTCAACGCCAGTAGGTTGATCGCTGACAAAATCTCTGCACGGATATAGAAGGCTCGTTTGGCATATGCCAACTTACTCCATCTTTGGCTTAGTAGATGTGATATCCGTCTGGTTGTCGACCAAAGGGCGTGTGTACTGCTCAGCCGTTCTATCTGTCCTCTTCTATGGCTATGACACATGGTCATTGAAAGTGGAAGACACGAAAAGGACGACTAGCTGTCTTTGATCATAGGTGTCTTCATTCTATCCTCCGTTTTAGGCGGTATAGTAGGGTGGGGATAATATTAAGGTTAGGTGTAGAGTGTTAAGTAAAGAGGGAAAGTCAATCCATGAGGTAGTGAAGCGACATCGATTGCGATGATTAGAACATGTGTTACGTATGCCTAGCCATCGTCTTGCTCGACGGGCGACTTATGAATTTCTTGTATTTTTGTGGCAAATAAGATAGAACATGACAAGACGATCACAAACAATAGAATCAGTAATAACAATAAACTGAAGACAAAGCGAATAAACAGGACGTTATTGTTATAACAGAGTGTTACTGTTTCGTCTAACTTGACTAGAATGCGCCTCTAGACACAACACAACAAGCAAACTGATTACTTGGAAATATTCTCCCACACTGAGTTAGACACAAAAGTCACATTCAACTGCAACAATCACCACAACGTTCCCATTTATTTAAAATGTGAGAGTGTGCATATCGTTTACATATCCACGGAAATTTAAACCTTACCTAAATAATCAATAAATATCTGATTGACTGCATGACCTTGAAGGTCCTCGAAAAATAAGTCAATCAAAAACTGTCCAATCAGGCTGTCATATCAGTGCATGCAGTAATCATGATTTCACAACTATTAACGATAGGCTGTCAGCCCTAATACTTCCCTTTTCTAAATAGACTTTTAATTGGAGAACCACTGGAAGGTATTTGTAGGTCTGGGTACTCTTCGCCTATGACAGCTAATTAGCCCGTTTAATAAAATATTTCATATCACATCCTCCTCTTAATTGTAGCATTATGTTTAGTTATTCCATTTGGCTTTTCTTTTCTATTGGCCATCTACAACTTTCATTACCTTCTACTCGATATATATATATATATATATATATATATATATACATCTATCAGATAGGGCTCAATGGAGTATTATCTGGTAACTCCAGTCACCAGCTATTATTATTATCATTATTCCTTTGGCTTCTGAGTGGAACATAGGGCTTTCTTAAATATTCTGCTGTCCTCTTCAGCTACCTCCACGATTGACCATAATCTCTCATCTCCACCTCCTCCTCCCCAAACAATCTACTCCATGTCACCTACGCACCAACGATCCATTCGTCGCTTCTCATTGTCATTCCACTCGAGTAATGGACTTCATTGAGCGCGATGTCATTCAACAGCCTCCTCAACGTATGCTCGATCCATCTCCATTTTCTCCTACATATTTGTTGAGCGACCGGCTCTTGATTGCCACAGTTTCTTCTTGCTAATTCTTTCTAACCGGTCATTTGATCTTCAGGATAGAGCCAGCGAAGGCAGGCAGCTGTTGATAAAAGTCTGTAACTTGTTGGAAATCCTTTCCGTGACACACAGGGCAGGTTTCTGACCCGTATAGAAGCACTGGCTAACTTCACAATTGTGTTGAAAATCCGAATCTTGTTCTTCATGATGACTAGATGCAGAAGATTTCCAAACTGGTTTCAGGTTGATGAAGGTGTACCTTGCTTTTCCGATTCGGGCTTTAACATCTTCATCCGTTTCGATTGCCTGTGGTTGAAACGATGCTGCCTAGCCAGATAAGTGAGGAAACTAACCTCTGTCAAATCTCTCCCGTTGATGGTGATTGGTGCTGGTTGTTGTTGCTGTTACTGTCAGTTGGTTGGTTGTCTTCATCACCTCCGTCTTCTCTATGTCCACCTGGAGTTTAGTTAGTGTGCTGATAATGTTTACCTACACCTGAAGACTTAGGCCTTTAATTTACAACATTCACCAGATGTAAAAAGACTGACGTTAAAATTCAAGACAACAAAAAGGATGAAAGCGTAGAAGCAATAGGATTATAATGGTTGAACTTGAATACACCCTGTTATAATGGAATGCTACTGATTTGTGGTTGTCGTCTGACTTGACTAGAATGCGCGATACCATATAACCAACTGATCCCTTGAAAATATTCCCCACATAAAGTCATAAAAGTCAGGTTGTACTGTGACCACAACGTTTTACATAGTTTACAAAACCTCAGGAATTCAAGCCATAAATAAACCAATCAAAAACTTGACGGCTAAAATCTACTGTCTGTGCTAACAAACCTACACATCTATGACTGATTCTTAGCCATTTCAACAAAGGCTTCTTAATAATTTGTTTCTATTGTTCTGAAAATTTTAACCAAGAAGTAGATATTAGCCTTGCCTGGTTTAAACAACAAACAGGAGGAGAGCATAGTGTTCAGGTGTACAAGAGTCAATCAAGACTTCAGTATCAAATTATTAATTTCAACGTCCATTGCTCAAAGCATACTCTCAATATGACTATCTGACTGAGTTTCGACATAGAACTTTGCACAGAAGTGCACCGGGTCAAGTTGCCACACTCTATACAGTACACAAAAGTAGAGACAAGAAATTCAAAAGAACTATAAGGGGTAGAAATGTACGGGAGAGGGAATGTTAACACGGAAAGAAACTTGAAGGTTTAATGAATATGGGCGATTTCAAAGAGTAAATACATCTGCACCATAGAGAATGATTTTAAGTCATATCACCAATAGCCAGAAGGCATTGCCTTTCAGCCTCCCAAAGACTCCAGTTAGGCAGTCTACACCTTCCTATGTAGTTGGCTTAAATCAACAGTAGAAAGACCTCATTAATTGATTAAAAATGCCCATTAAAATTTTCAAAAGAATAGACACGGAACAAAGAGTACTCTTTTCGATAAATTCATCATCAGGTTCTACAATTATATATACATTATAATGAATGAATGAATTAGTCTTATGAACGACATTAATGTTTTTTTTTTGTTTCCTTCACGTTCCTCAGTGGAACATAGGGCTTCAAGCTAGTGGCTTGATGCTTCTGTAGCAGTGTTTATTTTACAGGATGGGGTTGCTAGCCTCACGCCCAACCTTTCCTCTTCACCAGCGAATCAATAATATCGATAGATTACAACTGAACAGCATCAACATAAAATAAGCTGAATGTCAGAAGAATTAGGAAAGATAATAGTACAAATTCATCAATTTATAGTCTATACTGAAGGCCGGCCAGTGCAGAGCACTGGTTGTTTGAGGCGAATTGCAATAGCCTCTGCTGTTTGGAGAATGCGGTGCTTCGATGATTTTGGCAATTTATTAAGCACCCAGTATATTATAGAGAAGGATTCTTCTACGCTGGCTTTGTGACCAGTTTGCACCACATGGTCCAATATCGAGCTGTTAATAGTTTTAACTACACCTTTACTTAACCATAGTGGGAGATGTTCCCTAGCGAGCACGAAAAATCAAGTTCCTAGAGCAACGGCCAACATAACTTGCTCCACAAGCGCAGTTGAACTGGTAGATACAATTTGAAGTGGCTAGTCTAGGTACTTCATCTTTCAGTCAAGGTAGCACCATCGGTCGTGTAGAGAATAATACGTGTAGTTCGCCAGCATTAAAAGTTCTTTGAACTGATTTTCTTAATTTACTCATAATTATCTCACATGGTATATCGCCCTTGAATTGTAGTCGCATATAAAGAGGCTTCTTGTTTACAGATAGTGAATAGTCCTTCTCCGCTTTCTTTGTCATGTGTTTCTTGATAAATTTGTCGGGATAGCTATTTTCGATCAAAGTATCGTATAGAGTGCTTAATTCATCTTCAATTACTTCCTCTCAGCATATAGCTCTAACTCTGTGGCTGAGGGTCTTCAGTAAATTTCTTTTGTGCTTGATGGGAACGAAGCTGTGAAAGTGTGTATATTGTCCTGTCCAAGTGCTTTTTCTATGCAAATTTCTTTTTATGCTACCATCTGGTTTTCTTGTAAGTAGGATGCCTGGTTTTGATTTGACCATCCCGTTAACTCTTTTCAAACCTGATCATAAGTCAGCTAACATTGCTCGGTATGCGTGACACATGTCCCAATCGATGTAGCGCTTCACAACCTCATCGATTGACTTCCTTTCCTTACATACCCAACACTCTACGCCTAACCACAATTTTGCTCACTATATCATACTGTGTCGTGGACTACTGACAAGATTTGCCAGTAGTATATGATATGTAGACCTAATTTTCTACATGTCATTTTTACATGCTAGTTTGTATTTCTCTCACCTCACTATTCATTGATTTATGACCTAATTTTCTCGCAGGCTACTTATGAACTTTGAAATCCTATTGGCTGTTGACTGTCTAATTTATCAATTAAATTAGCGCCTCCCACGGTCATTTTAAACATGCA